AAGGAGCTGTGTGCAAAATATCTTTGTTTTGAGGAGTCTTGAAGATTCTTACAAGCTAATGGAACATTTCTATTCCAAAAGCTTGAACTTCAAGACTAATACAACTTAAGACAAATTATTTTCTAGTTTATAAGATTACTAGAGGCTCATTGCACAAAAATGTGTGTTCTTAGAGAGATTCCTCAGCCCTGCCTGCACCCTATCAAGTCTTGGACCTTTTGGGGGATGTCCACCTGCTGGCTTAGGCACACTCCCCAGGGTATTGGGACTAAGCTGCCAGTCAAACATCCCTCTGACAGCCTGGGAGCCCTCGGGGAACAGGCCTAAGCCACAGTCAGACATCTTTAGCAAGGTCAACGAGGCAGGCTTGTGGCTGAGCAGAGCTTCTCCTATGGAAACACACTGACCACCAGGGAGCAGCTCCTGTGTTGAACATCTGCCTCCTGGTGGTCAGTGTGTGTCAATTCCAACTGGTCATTCTGGATCGTTCCTCTATTAGAGTCAATTTGCATATTACCCTTTTATTACATATAATAGAATACAATTTATATAAGAAGCAGGGGATGTCCTAAAAAAATATTAATTTAGTACATGGATTTTTCTCACATGAGAGTTAAACTTTGCAAAAATCCTAGAAGGCCAAACAGATACTTGGGATGCACAAACACATAGCATGGCAGAGCAAATGAGGTGAGCCCTCAATAATGAAACAAGTGAGTGAATTAGTTTCTGTGTAGCTGACTCCATGAAAAATAAGTAGGTTCCTTGCTCTTACCTGCTAACTCATGTCATTTCACAGAATTAGTGCAGTAGACCTGGGAATGGATTATTGGTCAAGTTTAAAGCTCAAAGACAAACGGTCTATAATTTATGAGGATGTCTGCCATATGCACAGCATGGCTAGGGGCAGCACATCTATCAACAACTGTCCACTAAGTTGCTCTGGTTAAACTGTCAATCTAGCAATTCCTAATCTCTAAGAAAAATAGGGGGGGAAAGGTAATAAGAAATTACTAAAAATGTACTAACATCCTTAGTATGAATCAAACTGACTATAAGCAGTTTTCAAAGAGCCTAGTCCAGTCAGTATTTCTCAAAACTTTACAAACATAATAGGAATTTGTTGAAATGCAGATTCTGACCCAAGTATGCATGAAGCCCAGAAGTCTACATTTTCACAAGTTCTCAGGTGATACTGATGATGCTGGCCAGCAAATATTTTAAATAGTAAGGTCTGGTCAGCGGAGTCCATAAAACAAAACTGAGGAAAAACTAGGACTTTTAGGGTTCTCTTCCCTTCAACTGTATTCATGTTAAGAGCCTTATGCTACTTGCCTTGTGCAAAAAGGAATTAACAGACAATTCAAGTCAGGAAAATTTCTGCTTATCACTAACTCATGTAATTCATACGCCTTAAAATATTTCTTGAACATCTGCTGTCTACCATGCACTATTCTAGATTTTGAGTAAGTGGCAATGAGCAAAACAGACAAAACTTCACTAATGTCATGGAGCATATATGTAATGCAGGAATGGGATGAGAAAATGTTGAATGTTAGGAGGGATGAGAGGGGAATAAAACAAGGTTGCAATTTTAGATAGGACAATTGGGTAAAAAATAACATTTGATGAAAGACCTTTATTGCTTGGGTCTTTGATTTCTTGAGAAGAAATCACCTATATTATAAAAGCAATTAGTACACTAGATACCACCCTCTTCCCTATGCAAAGAGGGTCCTCCTGCAATTAGCTACTCTAAATAGCCACATCATCAATTTTTTCCTCTATCAGTTATTCCAATAATGTAAAAACATATAGTAATATCACCTACATGTTTTGGTTTATTTTGTTTTTAATTATGTACTGATCTAACATCTACCACTAATTATTATGGAACATTTTCACAATTTCCTCTATACATCCCACTTCTTCAATTCTCTCTCAACCTACTCCAAGTCAACTTTACCCACATCTTTTGAATTAAAGTACTCTTGTAAAGTTATACTCCAAATGGCCACGGACAATGGTCAATTTTCAGTCTTCATCATAGCAATGTTTAAATGCCATTAAGCATGATCACTATCCTAGTTCAAAATGATCTTATCTTTGCCTGCAGCACCTTCTATTGTCCTCTCTCTGACCCTTAACTCTCTGACTTCATATCTCACCACTATCTGCCCAATTCAAGTTTCACACACAGTGCACACCTCTGCCCCTTGAACTGGCCAAGGTCACTCTTACTTTAGGTTATTTGTTGTTTCCTCTCCTTATAATTCTCTCCTGTGCAATATCCACATACTATCTTCCTGAATTTCAATTAATTTCTTGTAAGACATTTCCTCCTCAGAGATCTGGTCTTGACCACCTTGTCACTATTCATTTTCTACCCCTCATAACAATTCATTTTTCTCCTGTGGCATTTACCACTGCTTGAGCTCATGCACCAATTTCTATACATACTATACATCAGTTAGGTTATTTGTTTTTTATCTGCTTTTCTTTAAGAATAAAATCTCCATGAAGACAAGGATTTTGTTTAGTTGACAGATCTATGTGCAGTAATAAATAGTCACTATCACTGTGAGAAGAAAGTGATGAAGTTTGCTTTGGGCATCAGTAAAAGCTTTGCAAAAGTAAATCTTAGGTTGGTTTTATATTATACTAGAGGCCTGGTGCATGGATTAATGGACTGGTGGGGTCCCTCAGCATGGCCTGCGCCATCTCACAATCCAGGAACACTTGGGGAATGTCGGACTGCCGGACTGCCGGTTTTGACTCTATACCTACAGGCTGTTTTGGCCCACCTGTGGGGATCAGGCAGAAACTGGCAGTCCAACATCCCCTGAGTTATGTAGTAGTGTGTAAAGTGGCAGGCATCTGGGGAGGAGCCCATGCCATTCTGCTCATCCTGGTCCTGCTGTGCCTACTGCCACTGCCACTTGGTAATCTGCCACTGCCACTTGGTAAGTGGCACTCCTGCTGTGGGAGTGCACTGACCAACTGGAGGAAGCTCCTGCATTGAGTGTCTGCCCTCTGGTGGTCAGTCTACATCATAGCAACCAGTTGACTGGTCATTTGGTAATTTAGTAGCTTAGGCTTTTATATATAGATAGATAAATATATTTGCTATATAATTCTTTAATGTCCAAATTAAAGTATGGGAGGAGGGGAATAAAACTACTTAAACAGGAAAACATTGAGCTTCCTAGTTGAATGAAAATTTGGAAGTTTGTGAAGCATTCTAAACTAGAAGTGTCTGTACAAAGGTATAGGGACAAACATAGCTTCCTATGTAGAAAGAAAAAGTAATATTTAGTTCTATATGGTCAAAACAAGGACGCAGAAGGGAATGGCAAGAGATAACATTGGATGATGAATATTATTTTTTTGTTTGGTTAAAGAATCCATTCAAGGAAAATCAATGCTAGAATAATGTTAATTATAACTAGATAATCAAACCCAAGTAGCCTTAAGAAGCAATCCTACTTCTCATAGCAATCCTACTTCTCTCTGCACTGTTGTTCTCTTTCTGAACAGACATACTCTCCTTATTCATAGTTTCTGTGTCCTCACAGATTCATTTACACAAGGCTCTTATTAACACCACAGCCTCTATCTGGTTCCTGTCCTCTTTTCAGTATAGACATTTTAGTTTCCACTTCTAAAGAGTAAATTTCAGTATTTCATAGTTCAAGTTACAAAAAAAAAAAGGAAACATTTTATAAACCTGCTTTATTTTTCTACATATGGCAAATGTTGTAGGATACTGGACAGCACGTGAAATGAAAGTCCTCAGTGAATCATCTAAAGATATCCCGATTAAATGAGCTAAACAGAAAACCATTTCTGTGGCCGAGTATGGCTACAACTCTTCTGAAATGTCTTCAAATTCTAGAGACATCACTGGTCTTTGTAGAAGAGACTAAGTTGTGCGCTGGAGATTGAAACTAGGATAAAAGTAAATTGGATATTAGAAACAGAAAATCTAGTCCAAATCTAGTCTAGCCTTCCCCAATATCTGGCTAGGAATGGAAAGGGATAACCTAGTGATGATAGTGCAGGGACAAGTATATGAGATGTAAATTGTAATTACATAGCCTGAAATCATAAAGCCAGGAATAAAAGAGATGTTTAAGGGGAAAGTGGTAATTAAGAGAAGAAAGGCTACAGGGAGAAAGAGATCAATACATACAGATGAAGAAGTTGGTTGTAAACAGGAAGGGAGAACAACTGCGTATAGATGGGTTTTATAGCTGTGTAGGCAGAAAAGCATAGTCCTCCGTGTGATAGGCTAAATTTTGTGAAATAGAAGGCAAGATCATCTTTCTAGGGAGTGAGAGGGAAGAGAGCTGAAGACGGACTGTGAATACTGAGAAGACAGCCTTTTGGGGGAATAAGAAAGAATGGATTAGCACTGCTGAGGTACCAAATGAGGGGAGACACTGTGCATCTCTAGTGTTTCTAATATTTAGAAACTGGTAAGATTCTCCAGCAATGTCCACTAGCCTGCAAGTAAGAGAAGGTAAATTGTATAGAGTTTACCTAAAAGTTTGTTGTTGCCTAAGTCAGCATGGCAGAAAGAAGTTGAACACAGAGGCAGGAAGTTGAATGCTGCAAGAGTGACTAGAGTATTTCACGTTCCTGAAACTTCTGTTCAAACAAACTGGTATTCTGACTGCTTCTAGATTAGGATTTCTATCTCCCTGACACTATTCACTGGCTTTCAACATTCATTTAATTGTATTCTCCCCTCCCCATTTCTACTCTATTATTTAAGTCACATTTTAAATGCTCTCTTCTACTAGGCAATTCTTAGTCCTCTCTCTTTTGTCAAAAAATAAACTTTCCAGTGTTGGCCAGTGGTGCTCAATCGTTAGAGTGTTGGCCTGAAAACTAAAGGGTCACTGGTTCAATTCCCAGTCAAAAGGATGTTTTGTTTAACTTTAAATGATAAAATATAGACATGCTTTTATTTTGTTTTCTTTCGTTTATATCCACAGTGCAGTGCAAGCCACTGGATACCATATCAAATTAACCAGCTGCCACAAAACTCAATACTGAAATATGGAAAACAGGTTCCACAACACCATCTTACTCCCAATCACCAAGAACAAATTAAAGAAGTTCCTACTCCTCCTCCTACTAATGCTCTAAAAGAACAGAATGAACTTAATCCTGTTCCTTCAAATGTCTATGCAGTACATATTTTACAACAATATCTTCAATCCAAAGAACCCGCCACCAAACGTTTCAAAGAACCCTCTGCTGTAGCATCCAAAATCATGTCTAGAAAACACAGTTCTATAATGAGAGCAATCATGTCTGGTGATTATACATTAGAAGATCCTCAAACCACCTCCAAACAACTCACTGCAATTATTGAAACTTCAGTGAAACCAATGAAAGTATCCAGCACTAAAATTTCCAAAAAATTATCTACAGAGACAACCAAAATCAGGTCCACAGAATCCACATCAACATCACCCGAGAACATCTCCACAGTATCCACTACAACTATGAACACTTCAAAAGAACTCATGAAAGTATCCACCACCAAATGTTTCAAAGAACCCTCTGCTGTAGCATTCAAACTCACCTATAGCGAATCTACATCAGTAGCTCCTAAGACCACTGCCCAACAACTCACTACAACTATCGGAACTTCAGAGAAACAAATGAAAGCATCAACCACTCAAATTTCCAAAGAGCCCTCTCAAACATCAATGAAAATAAGCTCAAAAGAACAGATTACGGTACCCACCACCAAACATTTCAAAGAACCCTCTGCTGTAGCATCCAAAATCATGTCTAGAAAACGCAGTTCTATAATGAGAGCAATCATGTCCGGTGATTATACATTAGGAGATCCTCAAACCACCTCCAAACAACTCACTGCAATTATTGAAACTTCAGTGAAACCAATGAAAGTATCCAGCACTAAAATTTCCAAGAAATTATCTACAGAGACAACCAAAATCAGGTCCACAGAATCCACATCAACATCACCCGAGAATATTTCCACAGTATCCACTACAATTATGAACACTTCAAAAGAACTCATGAAAGTATCTACCACCAAACATTTCAAAGAACCCTCTGCTGTAGCATCCAAACTCATGTCTAGACAATCTACATCAGTAGTTCCTAAGACCACTGCCCAGCAACTCACTACAACTATCAGAACTTCAGTGAAACAAATGAAAGCATCAACCACCCAAATTTCCAAAGAACCCTCTCAAACATCAATGAAAATAAGCTCCAGAGCATCGACATCAACAGCACCCAAGACCACCTCCACAGTTTCCACTAAAACTGTGACCACTTCAAAAGAACAGATTATGGTACCCACCACCAAACATTTCAAAGAACCCTCTGCTGTAGCATCCAAACTCATATCTAGACAATCTAAATCAGTAGCTCCTAAGACCACTGCCCAACAACTCACTACAACTATCGGAACTTCAGTGAAACAAATGAAAGCATCAACCACTCAAATTTCCAAAGAACCCTCTCAAACATCAGTGAAAATAAGCTCCAGAGCATCAACATCAACAGCACCCAAGACCACCTCCACAGATTCCACTACAACTATGACTAATTCAAAAGAACCCATGACAGTATTGACCAACAAAAGTTTCAAAGAACCCTCTGCTGTAGTAATAAAAATTATGTCTGGAGAATCTACATCAGTAGCTCCTAAGACCACTGCCCAACAACTCACTACAACTATTGGAACTTCAGTGAAACAAATGAAAGCATCAAACACTCAAATTTCCAAAGAGCCCTCTCAAACATCAATGAAACTAAGCTCCAGAGCATGGACATCAACAGCACCCAAGACCACCTCCACAGTTTCCACTAAACCTGTGACCACTTCAAAAGAACAAATTATGGTACCCACCACCAAACATTTCAAAGAATCCTCTGCTGTAGCATCCAAACTCATGTCTAGACAATCTACATCAGTAGCTCCTAAGACCACTGCCCAACAACTCACTACAACTATCAGTACTTCAGTGAAACAAATGAAAGCATCAACCACCCAAATTTCCAAAGAACCCTCTCAAACATCAATGAAACTAAGCTCCAGAGCATCAACATCAACAGCACCCAAGACCACCTCCACAGTTTCCACTACAACTATGACTAATTCAAAAGAACCCATGACAGTATCGACCACCAAAAGTTTCAAAGAACCCTCTTCTATAGTAATAAAAATTATGTCTGGAGAATCTACATCAGTAGCTCCTAAGACCACTGCCCAACAACTCACTACAACTATTGGAACTTCAGTGAAACAAATGAAAGCATCAACCACTCAAATTTCCAAAGAACCCTCTCAAATATCAATCAAATCAGCTCCTCAGCATCAACATCAACAGCACCCTGGAACACCTCCACAGTATGCACTAAAACTGTGACCACTTCAAAAGAACAGATTACGGTACCCACCACCAAACATTTTAAAGAACCCTTTGCTGTAGCATCCAAAATCATGTCTAGAGAATCTACACCAGTAGCTCCTAAAACCACTGCCATACAACTATCAGAACTTCAGTAAAATCATTGAAAGTATCGGCTGCTGAAATTTCCAAAGAACCCTCTAGAGTATCAACCAAAATCAGCTCCACAGTATCCACATCAATAGCATCCAAGACCACCTCCACAGTATCCACTTCAACAATGATCACTTCAAAAGAAGCCATGACAGTATCGACCACCAAATGTTTCAAAGAACTCTCTTCTATAGTAATAAAAATTATGTCTGGAGAATCTACATCAGTAGCTCCTAAGACCTCCACCAAACAACTCACTACAACTATCAGAACTTCAGTAAAACCAATAAAAGAATCCACCACTAAAATTTCCAAATAACCCTCTAGATAGAATATCAACCAAAATCATTTCCACAAAAACAGCACCCAAGAGCCAGCTCCTCAGTATACATTATAACTATGACCACTTCAAAAGAACCCATGATGGTACCCACCACCAAACATTTCAAAGAACCCTGTGCTGTAGCATCCAAAACCATGTCTAGAGAATCTACATCAGTAGCTCCTAAGACCACTGTCAAACAAACTCACTACAACTATCAGAACTTCAGTGAACCCAATGAAAGCATCAACCATTGATATTTCCAAAGAACACTCTAGGATATCAACCAAATTCAGCTCCACAGAATCCACATCAACAGCACCGAAAACAACTTCCACAGTATCCACTACAACTATGACCACTTCAAAAGAACCCATGACAGTATCCACCACAAAACTTTTTAAACAACCCTCTCCTATTGCAACCAAAACCATGCCTGGAGAATCTACATAACAGCTACTAAGATCATCTCCACTCAACTCACTACAACTATCAGAACTTCAGTGAAATCAATGAAAGTGTCCAACACTAAAATTTCCAAAGAACCCTCTATAAAATCAACCAGAATCAAGTCCAGAGTAACCACATCAACAGCACCCAAGACCACCTCCACAGTACGCACTACAACTATGACCCCTTCAAAAGAACCCAAGATTATCCAACACCAAACTTTCAAAGAACCTTCTAGTAAAGGAACCAAAATCATTTCTAAATTATTGACAGCCATAGCATATAAAAACAAGTCCACACAAGAGACCACTGTTATCACCACTTTCAAAGAACCCTCCAGAATTCCCACTACCCAAATTTCAAAAAAAGAAAAACCTAAAAAAAAAACACACCTAAAATAGCTTTCAAATTTAAATCCAGAAAATCCACATCCACGATGCCACAGGCCACCTCCAAACGACACCTCACAACTATCACCAGTCCTGAAGAACCCACCAATCCAACAATCACTGAGCACTTTATATTTATCAACTCTACTGAGTAAACAATTATTTTCTCTACCATAAAATTTCCAAAGACCGCTACACAACACCAAACAAAATTACTTTCAGAGAATCCACTTTGGCTCCTAAGACCACCTCCAAACAACTCACTACCACTATCACAACTTCAGTGAAACCAATGACAGTATCCATCACAAAAATTCCCAAAGAACCCTCTACAATAGCAACCAAAATTACTTCCAGAGTATCTACATCAATGGCACCTAAGACTACCTCCAAGAAACACAGTACAACTATTCCCACATCCAGAGAACCCACAACAGTATCCATCTCCAAGGAACCCCCTACAATAGCAACCTTCTACAGAGAATTCGCATCACAGCACCAAAGGCCACATTAACACAACCTATCGCATCTATCAAAAATTCAATGAAACCATTGACTGTACCCACCATGAAAATTTTCAAAAAGCCCTCAACAATAGCATTCAAAATCACTACAGGAGAGTTCATATCAATGGCATCCAAGAGCACATCCACACAATACTCTATGATAGCACATCAGTCTCTCTTAAGACCAATTCTGTGTCTTTTAAGATCACCTCCACACAAAACACTACAACTATCAGAACTTCAGTGAAACCAATGACAGTATCCATCACAAAAATTTACAAAGAACTCTCTATAATAGCAACTAAAATGGCCTCAAGGGAATTCATATCAAAGGCACCCAAGGCCACCTCCAGAGTATCCACCAAAATTATGACCACCTCATTGAAACCAATATCAGTATCCACTACAAAATTTTCCAAAGAGTGCTCTATAATACCAACAAAAATCACTTCAAGAGCATTTACATCAATAGCACCCAAGTCCACTTCCAAACAACACACCACAACTATCACAACCTCCAAACAACCCACTATAGTATTCACCACAAATTTTTCAAAATATCCTTCTACAATAGCAACCAAAATTGCTTCAAGAGAAGCCACATCAACAGTACTCAAGACCACCTCCATAGTATCCACTACAACTATGCCCACTTCAATAGAATCCACAACAGTATCCACCACCAAACTTTTTAAAGAACCTACTACAATAGCAACCAAAATCATTTCAAGGGAAACCACATCAAAGACACCCAAGACCACATCCACACAATACAGAGCAATCATCTCCACTTCTAAAGAACCCCCTTCATTAACCACTACCAGAATTTCTAAAGAATCCTCTACAATAGCAACCAAATTCCTTCCAGAGAATCCACATCAGTGGCACCAAGATCACATCTCCACAATACATCACAACTATCAGCACTTCGATAGAACCCACAACAATATCCACCACTGAAATTTCCAAAGAACCCTGTACAATAACAATCAAAATTATTTCCAGTTGAATCCACATCAATGGCTACTATGGCCACATCGCACAAATCACCAAAACTATCATCACTTCCATAGAACCCACTATTGTATCCACCACTGAAATATATAATTTTCCTCTACAATAGCAACTAAAATAACTTCAAAAAATCCACATCAAAGGCATCTACCACCATTTACACAGAATTCCCTGCAATTTTCATCACTTCCATAGAGTCCACCACAAAATTTCCAAAGAATCCTGTACAATAGCAGCCAAAATCACTTTAAAGAATTAACCACAGCAGCACCCATCATATTTTCACAGAAACCTCCTCAACTATCACCACTTTCATAGAACGAAGTACAGTAACCAACATCAACACTTCCTTAGAACCCAATAGAAATCAACCAAAATCACTTCCACAAAAACCAGCTCTATAATATCTGTCATTACTTCCTTAAAACAAACTACTGTGACAATTATCAAAAGGTTTTCAATAATGCCAATCATCAGGACAACAAACAGCCCCACCTCTTCAAAGAACTGACCTCTTCATGAAGAGACATCATCACTACAAGATCAGCAGCCACCAACATAGCATCTATCAGAGCTACTATTCTTTATCACATTCCCCTCTAATATTTTCCAGTTTTAATATCTAGGTGAAAGCTTTCATTCAAAGGACATCAAGCAGAAAAACTGTAGAGTTTTCGTGATAAGTTCTTTTCCACCTTTGGTCAATATTGTAAGAAATGATATTTTTAAATATGCCTTAAGCTCTTAGGAAAATTATCTTGAATTATTTCAGTGAATCCAACCCTAATCTAACCAGCTTATCAAAGTAATAAAATAAAGTACTATTTGAGCAATATTAAGCACCTATTTTGTTGTTATGATAATAAACATAATTTCCTATATTTTATTACCTACCAAAAGTTGATCAATCCATTTTCCAGAATAAAACAGAGACTCTTAATTTTTCTTTTAAAAAAAGACTCAATAAAGGTATACTTAGAGTGGGCAGGATTAGTAAACAAGGGATTGTTGAGGCATTCTGGGTCTTGCTACAGTGGAGCTGGTGAAGCAAAAGGATCAAATGCCAACACCAGAGCCTGAATGAGAGTTGAGACAATGAACAAAAAGCCACTAGTGGTACCTGTTGCTGTGAAGAGACATAACTACTGCACCATAGCACAGCTCCCACCATGGAGAGAGCAGGATAGTACCCATATGTCTCTCCTTTTCCTTTTGCTTTCATTACTGGGATCCAATCAAAATCTCACAGGCAAGGGAATCCATGTAATAAAGTTGTAGGGTCATCCTCCCAGGGAAGACAGCTAAGCAGAGAAGGCTGAAGTGCTAGTAAGGAACTGGCTCAGCATCTTGTAGCCAAATAAGTAGGCAAGAAAACAATGAGATCTCCTGGATTCCTGCACAAAAAGCGCAAGAGATGTCAGCAAGAGAAATGATAGAGTTATATCAATTTTTATTGCCTTTACCTGGAAATGCACATATCTATAGGGAAATGAGGTATGAAAATGTAAGTAAACTAGAGGCCCAGTGCACAGATTCATGCACCAGTAGAGTCCCTCAGCCTGGCCTGCTCCCTCTTGCAATCCGGGACCCCTCAGGGAATGTCAGAGGCCCAGAGCATGGATTCAACCTGATCCCCACAGGCCAGGCAAAGGGATGCAGGCCTCTAGTATGCATATAAGATCTTTGGTTAATCTCTTCCTGTCCTCTCCCCTTCCACTTTTCTCTGATATTCATCAGTCTGTTCCATATTTCCATACATAATTTCAATTGTAAAAGGTAAATAAATTCCAGGTACCAGGGCCTCTGCTTGGGTTGCCAGGGGGCATGGCTGGCCTGCAAACCACCACAGGCCTCTCGCTCTCTGCTGGTCAGTGCATGTCACAGCTACCTATCAAATGGTCACTTAAGCTTTTATACAATAAATTATATATATATCAAGAAATATAAAATAACATAAAAATATAAATAACATATACATAAATATATCAATACTAGAAACCTGGTGCACAAAATTCATGCATGGGGGAGGGGTGTCCCATAGCCCAGCCTGTACCCTCTCCAATCTGGGACCCCTCCAGGTTTGGGCCTAAATGGAAAGATGGATATCCCTCTAACAATACAGGACTGCTGGCTTCCAATTGCTCTCCTGCCTGCCTGCCTGATTGCCCCTAACCACTTCTGCTG